CGCAATGCTTACTTCTCTCGAAGTTTTGTTTTTCACAGAGGCATCCTCCCGTGCTGAGCCCTGAGATGTGTGAACCGGCTGGCTTTCAGTGTCTGTGTGCTCATACACTTCTGTGTCATGATGAACCCTCTTACAGTGAGCATTGAGTTTTGTCAGTGATCCATGGATTTGTGAACATTTTTTACACAAGTACCCTCTTTCATTAGAACCTTTTCCTAAAGTACAATTGACCATGTTTGATACAAAGACTTCACCTGTCTCAAGTTCATCTGCCCGGACTACAATTGCTGGATGCTTCATTTGACAGTGAGTGAGGGTCCCGTGGTAGCTAGCATTCACATATGGACAGTTTGGACACTTGTAGATCAAGAGGCTTTCTTCTGCTGTTATGCTAGACTTAAATGTCTCAGAGGCTTTTTCTTGTTGCTGAGTTGATGGGTCTTCAAACGGCGATGGCGCTGTCTTCTTGAGAGGCTGTTTGTATATGGGCACGTAGTATTTTAAATAAGCCTCCTTTCCATGTGTCACTGCATAGTGGCCTCCAAGATGCTTTTTCCTGAAGTAAACTTTAGAACACAGCACACATTTGTATACGCAGTCCTTTGAAATAGTATGCTTGTGGTTAGCAAGCAAATGGCGACCAAGAGCAAGTTTGGTGGTGCATGTGTAAGAACAGTGCTGGCAGTTGATCACGGCATAGATTTTCTTGCTTAAAACTGAAGTCTTTGATACAGATCCATGCGTACTGTAGGCTTTAGATAGAAGTATTTTACTTTTAACTAATGGCTTAGGAGCAGGTTTGGCCGTGCTTTGTGCTGTGCTTGCACCAGTCTTCTTGTGGTCTCGCTCGCAGTGTTTGTTCAGTTTCTCCAGCGTTGCGCAGATTTGGGGACAGGTTTTACACATGTGCCCACAAAGTTTCAAAGTCTCACCAGGAGGACTGCTTTTCCGGGTTTCGTCCAAATTTTCAACATACACCATATCCACATGGAGACTGTCGGCCCTGGATGGGAGGTTGGGATGCTTCATCTGGCAGTGAGTGAGAACACCCTGATAAACGGTATTGACGTAGGTACAATACGGACACTTAAAGACATGCAGACGTTTTTGGAGCTGCTTTTTTGGTTTTTGTTCTTGTTCAAATTTTTTGATTACAACTTCCGGGTGTTTCATTCCACAGTGAATATGGAGACCGTGTTTGCTATTAAAATTTGCAGAGCAGTAAAGGCACTTGAACACTGTGGAGGACGCCTTTGCTTCATCCTGTGATTTACCAAACTGGTAGGAGTCAAATGAGCCAGGTCTGTCACTTTGGTCTTCCACCCGCCAGCTTGCGCTTGTTTTCTTGGAAAGTTCTGCACTCAAAGGATGAACCATTCGGTAATGGTGTGCCAGATCTGACAAAGAGTTAGATTTAAAAGAGCATCTTTTGCAAGACAAACCAGCTTTATTTTGTCCGGATCTTTGGGATAGCAATCTGTTTTCAGTGCCATTGCCTCCACTCTGCTCTAGATCAGGCTTCTTCTTTTTAGAAAGGACCATTCCAGGACCAGCATATAACCGAGAACTTACATACTCAACGCAGGGGACACGTCCTAGGTGGCGTTCCTGGTAGTGCTCATAAACTGCTGCAGCTTTTTCATGTCTGAAAACACAGAATTCACAATAATAGCCGCGCTCTAATGATCCTTGTCTAAAATAATATCTTAAAATATCTGTGACTGTACGCTTTACTTTGTGAATTTTCCTTAAATGCTTCTTCAGAGCATATATCACGTCAGTTTTGTATGCGCATGCGTAACAGTTCAGGGACCTCTTTCTGTGTGGGGTTGTCACTGAGGGTGTTGCTGAAATGACCAAAGACTTTGAATGCTTCTTTGTTTTTTTCTTTTTCATTTTCAGCTTGAGGATTTCCTGAACAGCTTCTTCATTTTGAGCGGATGTTAGAAGACATTTCTGTGCCTGATCGTGGATCTTAGATGTATGCAGAAGGACTTCTGAAGGCTTCGCCTTAAATCCATGATGTGTTTTGCTGTAATGGCGCATTACCCGATCCAAAGTACTATGTCTGTAGTTACAAAAGTGGCAAAAAAATGCTTTTTCTTCGCCTTCATTTATTATAGGAGGAGGTAGACGGGAAGAAGAGGAATCCTTTGCATTTGCTTTCCTGATTTCATCATGGATTAAAGCTGTATATTCAAGAACACACTTAGTGCTGGAATTACACTTTCGATGAACCTTAGCCTGATGGATAATTACTCCTTTTACAGATGGATTTCCGAAGTTGCATTTGTGGCAGTAAAACAAGTTTTCTGGACATGCGTAGGACTTGTTCTGTCTCTCTCCTGTTTCGGAGGCATCTGCTGTGTAATCCTCCTTATACAGATCTTCTTTTTCCCTACACATCTTCACTTGTTTACTAGTATTAAATTGGGAAGATGAAGGACTTTTTGACATCTTAGATTCACTCTGACGTTTCTGCATCTCAGCACTGTACCCTAGGACATCATCAGTACCTATTGGTGCATCCATAGAATGTTTTGCATTGTGATGACCAAGGATACTCTTAACCTTGGTACTTGTGTAACTGCAGAACTGGCAGTAAAATGTTTCATTTGGTAAACTGGATGAGGAAATGTCCAGTCCAGTAGTAATTTCATTACTGGATTTTGTTGGAAACTTCGAAGATTCCCCTTTCGTGGTTTGGGAAGATTCTGAACGATTCTTACAGGCTTCTGGTGTGGTCTCTGAATGATCTACTACAATCACAGAATCTGAACACTTCTCAGATGTCATTTCTGATGCTGCATGTGATGTGGGACAAGCGGACTGTTTGATTTTATCTAATGTGATTACTTCATCTGGGTGGCTTTTTTGGTAGTGAACATGCATAGCAACAACTGACCTGTGACTAAACATGCATTTCTGGCATTTATACAAGGCCATGTCTGCTCTTTTAGAAGAAGAATTTTGGGATGTGTGGGCACGCTCAGGAGAAATTCCATCTGATTTTTCTAAACTCAGCTGAGACAATTCCTTTTGGCATTCAGACATTGAATATCTGCAGAACAATAAGGAATTCTCCATTTCATATGTTGCATGCTTTGCCTTGTAATGTTCTTTCAAAGACTTCAATAGATTGGTAGTAAATTTACAAAGAAAGCATTTGAAAACCAAACTGAGGCCACATGATTTCATGGCAAATACATCTGGGGCATCTGGATGATTTTCCAAGTAGTGCCTCTTGAGGTCAGCTGTGCTTAAAAACTCAACTGGACACTCCAAGCAACGAAAGGTGGCACTGTGATCACTTGCGTCCTGAATGTAGACAGAATTGTATCTGATATAAGGGTGGTCACTTTGATAATGGGCAGAAATCCGCCTGATGCCCACGTCACTGTAGTCACAATGTTTACAAGAATACACTTTTGCCGCGTCTGCCTCGTCTTCATCTTCGCTGACTTCAAATGAAAACTCGTTGCTGCTGGATGACTGCTGTCTTTCATTTTCTTTTTCCGTGAGCATCTCTTCGTTATCCAACTTGGCTTTTTTGACAGGATGACTTTTTAAACTTTTACCACTGGATCTCTTCACAGCACTGTCAGGAACAGTTTCTTTTCTGAATTGTTCCAGAGTTTTAGATGGTGTCAAATCAGTAGTCAAGTCAGTGTGCAAAAAATGGTACGACTTACTTCCTGTGATATCTATCACAGACTTTGCTGTGACTTTAAACACACCACTACTGTTTGGACAGGAGCTTGAAGGAGATTCCTGCAAAATGATAGTTCCTTTGGTTCCATCAGCTAATTTTTCAGCAGTCATTGCATTTGATTCAGATGACACTGAGAAGTACTTTGTAATGGTTTGCAATGGCCTCTTGTAGGTTTTCAGGTCCTTTAACGTGCATTTCCCTTCTGAGGTAGAAATATCTGAAAGAACTGATGGATCTTCCAATGTTCCTGCAGCTTCATTGTTCTGGTTTGCTGAAATGACACTTAAAGTGCTGTCGAGGTTTTCTGAAATGATGATACCTCCTGACACGTTAGGATTTTCTGAAGTTTTGTGACACAGTTCCTCGTGTTCACTTAAACCATCCCAACTACAAGCTTTAAAATCACACCTCTGGCATTTAAAATTATCTCCTGAACTGCTGCTGCTGTTCTCTGTGTTGGGTTTGTCAGTCCCAGGGGATAAACCAGCCTCTCTGAGAGAAATTTCTGTATTGAGGCCATGCACCTTGTTAAGGTGTTCAAAAAGGTACACCTTGGATTCGAAGATCAGCACACAGTGACTACAATGGAAAGCCTCGACTTGGGATTCTTCAGTGACTGCTTGGCTGATGACTTGCTTGATGTGGCCAGAGGTGGAGCACTCCACTGTATCTGAGGGGGCAGGCAACAGACCAGTATAGATCAGCATAGGTCAGTATCTATTCACAAAGACGTTGCATACCTCTGTGATACATACCGTTTTCCATCTTGCATGCCTCTTTTAACCCACAGCCTTACACATTAAGTGACACACCTAGACAACTGAAAAAACAGATTATTATTTTTCTCAAGGCACAGAAGCAGCACAACATAATCCGACGCTACTTCGTTACCCGTTATTAAGTTAAAGCACAAGTGAATACTTAAAAAAGAGAGCGAGAGAGCGAGATTGTACGCTTTGCTAATATTATCTTTAAATATGGCAGCACAAAGAACTCAACACCTCTATTTAACTTTCAGTGTAGCATATTCAACAAGAAGGAGACGTAAAACGAGTCAACCGAATAAACAGATCCTACCTATTTTAACAAAATGCCGAAATGTGCAACTCGCTAAAGTGCGCGATGCACGCAAAGTTTTTACTCACGCATGCACACAAAAACAGGACAAGGCTTAGGAGGCACCGTTTTGAACCGCTGCTGGAAGTCGCGTGAACACGGAGCACGTTTCCGCCATTTTTCAAGCGTGTGTGACTCTCCCTGGCCTGTGCTTCCCCCACCGCAACAAAACATCTTCACTTCCGTAGAATTCACCAACCCTTCAAAATAAAACTACCTGAAAACTACCTCCGCTGTGTAAGTAATTAAAATATCAATTATAATGTTATTTTACCAG